TATTGAATAAATGGAATGGTAAATTGTAAGAATGAAACTGTGCTTTGGAACACACAAGTTTTCATATCAAACAAATTGAATTTATTTAATATTTTTTAACATTCAAAACTTGAGCACCTGGTGTCTTGCTGCTTTTCATTGATCCATGGTAATCGTTACCTCTCTTTCGCCAAATGAATCTGTTTCGCCAGATAATTGAGATATCTTTGTTATCTGCACATCTCATTAGGAGTTATTCAAAGAACGTTTTATCTCTTTGGATCTTGTACGTACGCAACGAGAATTTGCTCTACACAATTTTGCAATAATCCCAAAGGAGTACACGAGAAACTGTTAGTATAATTTAGCTGAACTACCGCAGAAATCGCTGCGTTTAAGGGTACTACTGGGAATATCTCCAGTACTAATAACACCCTTGATGTGGCTATAACATTGAAATAACTGAAGGCCAAATTATTTGAAACTGTAGATGCAAAGGCTATCCTTTTCTCACGATGAGTCTCAGGAGATTGCTAATTAGCGCAATAAAACATTGATTTTAGTTGCTCAAGAAATGTCCTCGTCCTGACTCATCTAAGAAAATCGATCACGACAGTGAGTGTGTCAAAATGAATTTGTTAACTCAAAAAGAATTTGTGAATTCATTGAACACTTGAGTGAAATGGATACTGAGTAATATACATGTAACGCAATATCTTTAAAAAGTGTATATAAAAGGAGGATTCAGCCATTGGATTCGAACACACAGTTAGAAGATCCTGAAGTAGCGGACGCGAATCCGCATGGTGATTTTTGTGTGGATTAATAACAAAACCTGATACAAGAAGTGCTTGGTTTGGTGTGCTAGCAGTCATTGATGGGTGACCTACTGGAAGAAGTCTTTGACTGGGTGACCAGTTTCAGACAGTGTCTGGGTGGGCTGGTGCATTGAGCACTTGCTGGGACACAGAGGGACTGTTTCCTACTGGGTGACCTACTGGAAGAAGTTCTTGGTTTGCTGCGCTTGCACTCATTGGCTGGATGACCGGGTTCAGACAGTGCCTTGGTGGGCTGGTCCATAGAGCACTTGCTAGGACAGAGGGACTCACATCTGCACAGTGAATGTTGTATTGATAAATGTCCACATCAGACACACATGTGCAGTCTTTTTAACCAAGTTCCTCTGAAGTGGTAAATGTTAGCATCTGCATTTCTTCGAACATGAGGCTGATATGATTGTTAAAAGCAACATTAGACTCACTAACTCACGAAGTATCAATGTATCTCTTACCCTTAAACAACAAAACCCGGAATGCGTAAATATATTTTGACCAGAAATTATTGAGAATTTTAGGTATTTGTTTAATTGGATTTCTAGTATAAACAACCTTTACCATCAAGTGCTTGGTTTCATTCAAGAGAGACAACTCCGTTAATCCTGTTTCATCAGTTTGTGAAGAGTTATCCCCTTTTGTTTACTTGCTAGCAGACGACATTTTCAGTGATCCTCAGTATGGATGATTTAGAGAAGCGGAGGTTGATTTTAGAGTATTATAACAAGGAGATCAGATCAGCTAAAGTGATTTCAAGTAGAACAGGCATCCCTTTGTCCACTGTTTATCGTGTTTTGAAAAAGATTGCAAATGAATATGGCATTGATCCCCAGGGAGGCGCAGGTAGGCCTAGAAAATTGACTGTCGGTGACAGGAGGCGGCTTGGTATTCTTGTTTCTAAAAACAAACGAAGGAGTTTAGAAAACTGAAGGCTGGATATGATTGATAGAGGAACTGTGGCTGTCTGTAAGGAGACAATCAGAACTGAGCTGCATGCAATGGGTTGGCAGAAACGTCGAGGAATTCCATCACCGATCATGAAACCTGAACAAAAGGAGCGAAGGTTGAACTTGTGCTTACAGCATAGAAATGTTAACTGGGACAATGTGATTTTCTCAGATGAAAGTTCTGTGTGTCTATTTCCTAATACACTGAAGTTCTGGACCAAACAAACTGAAAAACCTTTGTATCAGCACCCAAAGTACAGTCCGAAATTTAACGTGTTGGGTGGAATATCTGTGTTAGGGGCAACGCCCTTCTGTGTATTGAGGGGGAATATGAACAGTGAACAGTACACAGATATTCTCGAGGGACATTTACTTCTATCTACTCACGTGTTCTTTGGAAATGTTTGGATATTCCAGCAGATCAACGGCCCAAAGCATCGTTCAAAGCATTCACAGGCCTGGTTTCGGACCCAAAATATGACATTATTTGATTGGCCAAGCTATAGCCCTGACCTAAATACAATAGAAAATGTTTGGGGACTTATGAAGGAAAGTGTCAATAAGAAAAATCTGACAAATATTGCTGAAATGAAAGAAGAGGTGGTCCGATATTGGGACAGCATGGACCATGACTTTCTAACTTCTTTGATTAGAAGTATGCCCCGCCGCATTGAAGCCTGCATTGCTGCCCATGGTGACTTGACAAAATACTAACTGTTCACATGTCTTTGAATCTGGAGTTATGTTCTGCTAATATTCACATTTAATACATGAGTAATGAGTGAAAAAAAAAATAATTCAATCTTTAAATTCTCAATAATTTCTGGTTGTACTTGTACATTTAATGTTACATAGCTTCAATGTGAATTAACGCAAACAGAACGCACAAGTGTGAAGAGACAAAAACTGTTAGTTTTTAATTTATTTCAGGGAATGCACCAGTCTAAATGATATTGAGAACAACGTTTTTTTCTGAAGTTTCTGTCGACCTAATTTCTCAACCTTACCAAACCCACTCTATGTTGTTGCAGGGCGAAATTAAAGGCGCCAATAATCCTGTATTCATTCCAGCCTTCTCCCGCTGGCACTTCATTTCGCAAAAAGGGACCATTCCTACATATTCTAAAGATTTAGTTTCGCAATATTTGCACGAAGTACTTGCTACATTTTATACTGATTAATAACATGTACATCATTCAGGGAAGATTTTCTGAAAAAATTCAAGAGGGATGAAAAAAGTGATTAATTTCAGCAAAACGTACCGGTAGCTCCTTCGATGTAATCTTGTATGTGGGTGCTTTTGGATAATGGTGTCATATAGGAATGGACATATTATACACTCATTTTTGAGAGGAACTCTGTGAAAGTTTCATTCAGTTGTTGATACCATGGACTGTGAAGACCCTCTGATACAGGCAAACTAAATGCTTTGGGGGCTTGCCACACAACATGGTTCACATGAGATGTATCTGTTTCTGTTGCCAGATCAGGGCGTCCATGTTGGGTGACATACCAATGGTTAACCGGTCAGTGTATTTGATTTGTAAATGCCATTTCAATATGAAACAAGGAATTAGAATTTAGTGTAACCATAGTTGTTTGTGATGTCTATTTTCACTTTCACACGAAAAACTTCGGATCGGCTGAAAAAGTAGGTCATTGTCTGAATAGGTTAATGAGATTTCATGTTTCGGTTTGTGTCGCTCATTGAGTTTGGATGCAGTTGTCGTCGGAGGACTTATTGTATAACTTTGCATACATGCACTTGTATAAAGTTTACGTTTAATCTCCTCCTCCTCCCCGTCCCCTTCCCCTAGACAATATAACATATTGAAGTGTTTATGTTATTGTTCCAGCGTAGCCCGTGTTGCAGGAATGAGACATTGCTGCTTTTACGTTCACAATGAGGGGACTACTCTTCTTCGCCACAGCCTTCTTGTTTTCCATGTGGCGTTGAGGTAGCCTAGTGGTTTAAACGTTCGCTCGTCACGCCGAAGACAGGGGCTCGATTCCCTGCATGGGTACAACGTGTGAAACCTATATCTGGTGTTTCCCGCCGTGCTTTGCTGGAATATTGCTAAAAACGGCGTAAAACTAAACTCACTCACTCACTCTTGTTTTCGACGGATCCCAAACACTGCAACTTGGGTTGTTACTTTTGTTACAGTATTGCGAGTATGAAGTGTGATTGCATTTGATAATATCTTGAATGTTAATGAGGAATGTTTATACAGGAAAAGGAAAACTGGAATATTGTAAGCAGTGAGTTGTGTACGGTGCCAGTATAGGTTGGGTTGATTCGATAGGACGTGTTTGCACTCATGAACTTCTGCAAACATTTCATCTTGTACATGGTACAGTGCGTTTTGACTCTGATTAATATTGTAACTATACAAACGCTCCCATTGTTACTCACCCGCCTTAACGTTGGTATTCACATATTGCTTAGATAGGTATCACTTATTGCTCAAGCCATTTTGAATTGATGATTGGAATCTAAAATAGCAGAAGATAAAGGAATTTATAACAAAATTATTGATGTTCTTATGTGAAAGAAATGGGTAATGTTCTTATCTATTCTGAGCTTGTTGCATTGCATAAATACCTGTTTGAGATGCAATTGCAAAAATAACACGAATGCAGGTGTCTTGCATGAGTAACAGAGTCTACGTTCAATTGAAGCACGAATAATCAGGAAAGTAAACCTTCATAATCTGACCTTAGGTCATCAACATGGAGTAACATATCACGATCCTTGAAATCGATCGAACACACGTGTTTGATACCGGTTTTCTCACGTTTGTAAGAAATAAAATAGAAAAAAACATAATCAAGGAGAACTGAGATTCAGAACCTATACTTGAGGGAAGCTACTTTTTAGTGCGAAAGGGAAATATCTTCATTTTCCAGAGACTTTTACACGAGTGAGTGAGTGAGTGAGTTAAAATTCATAGTCACATCGGCAATATTTCCAGCCATATCGTGACTAAAACTAGTTCCAAATTCATAAAAAATACATATAATTTATAAAACCCTGTCAACGAAGGATAATAAAATTGCTAGGTTATCATATTTGTTTAATCGAGATCAAGGAGAATTAAAATAATACACTAACAATAAACTGCACGCGAAATACAATTGGCGAGAGATCGCCAGCAACGGATGGCAACCATACAAGAGACCGAGGGACTTTACAATACTTCTGTTTCCTGCACAGTTTTTCTAGCTGGATTTATACCCGTCAGCTGCTAGAGACTGCAGGTAAAGTTAACCATTTACACCAAAAGTACGATTTTTTCACGAGTTAACACTCAATTTGGAAGATGGGCATATTTTCGAATTGCTCTACACTGATGACATTCACCTGTCCAGAGCTCTTAGGGGGCAAGCTGGTATCTCTGCTACACGCCAGAGAAATGTGATGATTTGTCACATCTCGAACAACCAATCTATTCAACCAATCTATTCAACCAATCTATTCAACCAATCTTTACATTAAGATAAAGCAAGATGAAATGAGGAACTTTCGTTTGAGCCCCAGGGGCTTGTGAGTGTGACTGGACTCAAGACTGTACAATATTTTGCGAACCCTAAGTTATTATAACTGTAAAAACATGTAACATGCCTCTTTTACTCCCCGTCCAAATAGTACAGTTAGTACATTTCTTAGGGGTGCGTCCTTTATGCCCATCCACTTATAGCTGTGATTAGTTTCGCCATCCCTCATTTTTCATTATCAACTAAACTCACTCAATCACCCAATCCCAAACACAACACATCCCAGTCTAAGTGAACTTAGGCTCAGTATTATTCGTAAACTTAGGCTCAGTATTATTTGTTACACTGCAATACTGAGTCTAACAAACCCTAGTAGAAGAGCAAACCTTTTAGCGACCTCTGACCGTCAATCAAACGGGAGACGGCTAAACGGATTTAACCAATCCGACAAGGGCTACTATTAGGGTTCGGCGGGACTTACAAAATGGTTTTAGATTTATTCTTCCCCGGTCGCTGACACTGATCTCTCGACAAACGAAAATCCGTATAAAACACATATGTTTGACCTGCAGTATATGCACTTCGGGGTTTCTGATGACATCGTTATTTTTTAGGTTATATTTCCGCAAGATATTATCCTGGAATATTGACAGACGCGACCGTGAAAAATGGTGTCCTCCGTGTGTTTCAGTCGGACGCGATCGTGCGGAAATAGCATTCGGATACCAGTTTTCGAGGAAAACTTCAAACGGTATGTGCGAATGTTACTTTTCGCGATTTGGGAAGCTGTGTTCTGATTGGTCAGTCAAAGGTTAGCTGACGCGACCTTCTACTGGGGTTTATTAGACTCAGCATAGCAGTGTAACGAATAATACTGAGCCTAAGTTTGCTTAGTCTGGACTGAACACATTCCAGTTTTCCCAGCCATTTGCCTGGAATCCCTACCCTTTACTAACTCAGAGTTTACCAATATTTACTTGGTGGAAAAACACCCACATAAAACGTTTACCAGAAATGTGTACAAGGGAAGGAATGCACCATGATTTCAAGTTTCAGGAACACCTGTTGTCAGGTAATTTAGCTTACCAGGCATTTTTAGTTTTAATCAACAAAATACAAATTAAGCATAATCCTTGTTCCAAATTATATTGATTCACTTGACTGCGTATAGTATACCCAAGCACAATTTATACTTGATTTACGCACATGAAGGTACTGGGCTTATAGGCCAAATCACTGCAATTTCGATATAGTCGAAAATGTCGACTTTGAGATAATACGCTATAACTATACTGTGTTTTAAGGGCAAAGTGCCCATACGGAGGTCGACGTCGTCGATGGCCATGTCGCTGTAGAGGCCAGTGCCGACGGTGCCCTTGATTTCAATACGCACGCTGTTATGTTGCGGCAGGCTGGGAACAACAGGGGAACCAGCTTGCACCCTGGTTTCCACTTTGCGAGAAGATAGTGGTCTTCCTGCCACTGTACTGAAGAGAAAAATGATGGGCTTATTAATATTTTTAATTAATCTGATTAATTAATTCACTTTCTCTCATTCATTCGTTCGTTAGTCCGTTCACACATGAGCTCATTCGTTCATTAATTTTCCATTGTTTCCTTCCTTCATTTTTGCTTCCTTCATTTTTCTTTTTTATTCATTCGTTTATTCATTCATACCTTCATTCACACATCTATATGTTGAGATTGGGTGTTTCGATTCAGCGCGATGTTAAACCAGTTTTGAACTCTTGCCTTTGTCATGCTCAAAATCAATTTTAGGGAAACGAAAATCCAACGAGACCCTAATTAATATGTTTTGTGGGCATGTTTTGTGAATTCTTCATGTGTACTCTGGGAATACTATGCCATCAGGAAGAATGGATTATGTAACTTTCGTCTTTTGAAAAAATGTCTCTCTGACCTTATGATCTCAGTCGGATTAAACAAAACCGAAATATTAAAAATAAATAAGCAAAATAATATTTGGTTAACACACCCTTTGTAATACACAATTCCTAGTTTGTTTGTTTGCTTGCTTGCTATCTAACGCCGTGAATGTTCCAGTCCGGACTAGACAACCCAGTGGTCAACTGCATGAGCATCGATTCCCGCAAATGGGATACGGTGGCGTGTGTAGACCAAGTCAGCGAACCTGACCACCCGATCCCGTTAGTCGCCTCCTACGACAAGCATGGGTTACTGAAGATCAATTCTAACCCGGATCTTCACGGGTGGCAACAACTTAGGGCTATAATACAAAATTAGTAACATTGTTCCAGCACCATACTGAGCCAATCAAAGGGAATTTATTCCTTACGCTACACTCATCAATTTTCCATCTGTATGACGGCGGTCTGTAAATATTTGAACCAGACAAACCAGTGATGCACACTGTGAGCATCCATCTACGACAGGCATGGGTTGCGGAAGACCAATTCTAACCGCGTCACGATTCCTATGGAGGTGTATATGAATCAATATCCAATAGTGATGACACGCAGGTGTTCGAAAAAAGGTTTTCGCAAAGGTAATACCATCTATTGAAATGGCTAAATCAGGGACTGTTCTGGGTGTAGGAACAGAGAGCATTAACAGTGTACCTCTTCAAAAAAACCTGCAAAGAGCCCATCGAGTTCCCGTTCATGTTCGCGTAGAACCGGAAACACATATCGCTGTTGACGTCGAATTGTGGAGAGATGAGTGAAGCAGTGTCACCTTGGGATCGCGGACTGGATGCTTCAGTGTACATATATGCTCCTGAAAGAAGATTGGTGTTAGTTTAAGAATTGCCTTCATTTTGTATAATGGAAACATATAGATGTAAACAAGTAAACACCGATGACCATTACTTACCTTACGTACGTCCGCTTCCTACGCAGACAAAATACTGATGTGATTCTGAAAACGCTAAACGATATTGAAACCAGGGTCCCGATCCACAAAGCGTTCGTAGCCCTACGGTATTCGTAAGTCTATGACAAACGATAGAGTTACGACAGGTCGTAACGTTACGAACGCTTAATGGATCGGGACCCGGTTATTCATAAACCCTTCACCGACTTTTAAAAAAACCCCATTAATTACCAACATTCAACCACTGATGTGAGTGAGTGAGTTTAGTTTTTACGCCGCACTCAGCAATAATCCAGCTATATGGCGGCGGTCTGTAAATAATCGAGGTCTGGACCAGACAATACAGTGATCAACTGCATGAGCATCGATCTGCGCAGTTGGGGACCGATGACATGTGTCAACCAAACCAGCGAGCCTGACCACCCGATCCCGTTAGTCGCCTCTTACGACAAGCATGGCTTACTGAAGATCAATATTCTAACCTAGATCTTCACGGGTGGAAACAACTAAGGGCAATAATACAAAATTAGTAACATTGTTCAGCACCATACTGAGCCAATCAAGGAAGGTGATCCTTACGCTGCACTCAGCAATTTTCCATCTGTATGACGGCGGTCTGTACTGACTGACTGAGTTTGGTTTTACGCCGCTTTTAGCAATATTCCAACAACATCACGGCGGGGACACCAGAAATAGGCTTCACACATTGTACCCATGTGAGGATTCAGACCCGGGTCTTCGGCGTGACGAACCAACGCTTTAACCACTAGGCATACCCGCCCCCGGCGGTCTGTAATTAATTGAACCAGACAAACCAGTGATGTGCATTATGAGGATCGATCTACGCCATTTGGATACAAGAAGGCATTAACCATGCCTGACCACCTCTTCCCTATAGTCGCTTCTAAAGACAAGCATGGGTTGCTGAAGACCAATCCTATCCAGGACCTCCACGTGTCCAGGATGAGTGAGTGAGATGGAGTTAACATTTACGTCGCACTGGCAATATTGCAGCCATATAGTGACAAGAAAAGAATTGATTTAACTAAATACTTGTCAGAAATGACACACAATAAAACATTAGCGGTCCAGTAAAGACGATATCTGATGCTGGATGTGGTCTATTGTTGGCTGTTTATAGGAAATATGTAACATGTTTCGTAACATGGAAACATTCTGTGATTGGTTAGATTATCTAATGCAACGGAGTGATGAGCATTCCCTGTCCAATCTCGAGAGAGTTAAAGGCCTTACAGGAAACTACATTGCGTTACGTTAAGTCTTAACACTATCTGTAAGATAAATTCGCTGATGAATATGGTTTAACATACCCCTAAGTAGTTGTGTATCGGTTGCCTGAACAGCATATGATATATAGTCCGTTTGGCTCAAAACATACTCAATGAAACGCTGATCATCAAAGACATAATACCCACTCTGTGAGGTTTTGCAGAATTTTTGTCCTAAAAATAAAAAGTTGTTTAACAAACTATCATTAAAATATTGACACAGTTCACTATTTGTTACGAGGGAGGAGTGCAGAGAAAGGGACAGCCAGGTGTGCGAGAACGGATGGAGACGGCACAGCACAGGTTAATGAATAAATAACTTTTTCTGTAGACGTGCTTCGGGAACACCTTGCTGTCCCTTTCTCTGCACTCCTCCTCGTAACAAATAGTGAACTATGTCAATATTTTAATGATAGTTTGTTAAACAACTTTGTTGTTGGGGGGACAAAATTCTGCAAAACCTCACAGAGTGGGTATGCTGCTTTCATTATGATCAGCGTTTTATTGAGTATGTTATGTTTATTAGTTTTCGAGTTAGATTGCAATTCATCGGTCCGCTTTTTGAGCCAAACGGACTTTAGTCGTTCATTAAGGCCATATCATAATATATTTCCTTCTTGAAAGTTCACGAACACTGATTTCAATATTGCAAGGAATTGAGCAGGGACATATAATCCGATTTTAAGTTTCAAGTGCAACAGAGTTGTCCAAACTACAAAAATAACGGCTGCTTTACAAGTTGGGGCGAACTCTCTTCGTACAAACCTGATCCCGATGTGTGATCACCCGATGGTCCGGTGTCAGAAGAACTCGTCGTTCCTTGGTACCTGGTCCAGTCAAATTGATCCTGAGTTGACTGGACCCATCCACACATACCAGCATCAAAATTACACGTCACTCCGTTATCTGGGTGACAGAAACATGGTAATATGTATACGGATGGATCAGCCGAGACAGAAGCGAAGACCAAGAAAGGATAACAATATATAGATGAACAACGACTGGATGGATGAGCGACGTTTTGGTGTAGGTTCTAACAAGGTGAACAGAATAACAGAGCAGTGAGTGAGTTGGGTTTTACGTCGCCTTTAGCGATATCCCAGCAATATCAGAAATGGGCTTCACACATTGTACCCATGTGGGGAATCGAACTCGGGTCTTCGGCATGACGAGCGAACACTTTAATCGCTTGGCTACCCCACCGCCCAATAACAGAACAGGTGAGCAGAATAAAGATTGTGAGGCATATATACAAGTTTGGGAAGTTTTATTCCGTAATGTGTGAATTTGGAATGCAGTAGCGTGGGGATGCCAGTTAACTTCACATTGCTTTAAGATCAGATATTGTTACCCTTCCATACTGCTCTAACTTTTAATTGCCTCTCAAAGTTAGCAAAATGTACTGACCAAGTATCGCTGGATTTTTACAGACAGTAAATTTCCAACTGCATGACAACCACTTGTAAATAACGGAGACTTGACCAGCTAACCAAGTGATTGATATTGTGAACTTCGACCCACGATGTTAGCGAGTGATTTAAAATTAAAAAGTCACACCACGATGTAAGGCTACACACAAAAGCATTTCGTAACTACAAAACTGTCTTGGATGAAATTTGCATTGTGTATTTTCCTGTTTTCGGTGGGTTTACCTGTAGATCGAACTCAGCAATATTCCAGCTGTGGCAAGAAAAATTTGATTTGGAAAAAGAATGAGAAACATACTCAATACAGTACAAGTCTGAACCCAGTCGCCAAACACTGCAAACAAAGGGCCGAAAGCACAGTTTATGCAGTCTATTTCGTTTCACTTTTCACTGGGCCAATAGTTGCGGTGTTTGATAGTTGCTGACATATAGTCTATATCTTGTGGTATATCTATTATCTACCCATTTGGAAGTAGTGACAGCTACCTAAAGTTACCTCTGCAGAGTTGCGTCCCTTAGTGACACACGGATCCTAATGCTGGGTTAGAATCTTAGCTTTGCTCTCGTAAGCCTTAGAGGACCTGAATAGCGTGGGTTATTCGCCTACATCGAACTGATACGCCATGAAAAATACCACAGTTAAATGTTCCCCGTATGCATGATGTCATAGTTGTACTTTGTATCTATGATTACAGCCTGTTAACATTTTGAAAAGTGTGGTGATAGTTTGGCCCAATCTGATTTTGAAGTGTAAACTTTCTGCATTTTTATGTTCCAAGGGGTTTAACCCGATTGCTCACTCACTCTGTCGCTCTCCCATTATTACTCAACTTACCACTGAGACATACACCGTTGTTTGTTCCCGAGGTACAGACGCACCGAAAGCCTCTAGTTCCACGAGGCTGGCACTGGGCAAAGCCTTTACACGTCCCACTCAGGCATGCTGGGCAACCCATGCTGATGCCATGGAACTCGGCCACACCGTAATTGTCAGGAATGAGTACATCAGTGTTGAAAAAGACATCTTCCACGCAGCCATCAAAATCGAGTTTGGACAATGTACCCTGTTTCCATGGAGTCACAGGAACCTGACCAATGAAATTCTCTCTTAGTGAACTAGCGGAAGTGGGACCGGGAGAGGATAAGATGCAATCTTCAGTCGTGTTACATAGAGGGTCCATCAGGGTTAGGGGTGGTGTTACTGTTGTACACCAAACTGAGGCTGTGCCAGTGCGAGTCACTAAGCGGAAGTGATGTCAGAGCTTCTTGGGTGTCATTGTAGCCAGCAGAATCGCCTGATACCAGATACAGAGAGCCATTTGCGATCTCAACGCTGACGAATGCGTTTCCAACCCGATTGTAAAGCAAAATCTGAAAGGACAAACAAGTAAGGCATATTGATTGAAGGCAGTGTAGTTTGTTGATACAAACCGCTGTAATCGTATTGCATTGTTTCTGTGAAGATTCAAAGCGGGCAGTAGCAGTTGCCGCATTTGAAGGGTTTTGCAAGAGTAATTTGAGGAATTAGTTTTGAGTTGAGTTTTTTACATAGTACATTACTGCATTTCTATCTGTGATATTCTAGTTGTTTTATGGACCTCATTTGACAGGTTTGTGATGATTTAACTAGATTTAGTCACGATATGGCTGAAATAATGCCGTGCGACTTAAAATCGTAACTCAATCACTCCTTAAAGAGTCTGAAAACCTTCGGAATGTTCTATACAAGAATGATCTATGATTATGCAGAAGCTTCCAAATTACTCTTGCCCTGGTTGACACATGCCATCGTATCCCAATTGCGTAGATCGATGCTCATGCTGTTGATCACTGAATTGTCTCCAGTCAGTTAGTTACAGACCGCCGCCACATAGCTGGAATATTGCTGAGTGCGAAGTAATACTAAACTCACTCACTGTCTCACTTACCGTATTAGACTGTGCTGTCCTGAACCTCATTGTGAGGTTGAACCCGGAAGTATAGGTCTTCCTGATGAAGCTTGACGTCGACAACGTCATCATCGTAGTTGTGTCACAGACCTTGCCAATGTAGCCATGGGCACAGGAACACGTATAGCCATGGAGATTTTTAGCTTCATCCAGAAGAACAGGAACACACACGGCCTCGTTTTGACACGCATGAACATCTTCACAACCCCGCAACAGCACAGGACAATTCTTTCCTCCGTGAGTTATTAATCCCTCTTTAAAGGCAAGACATTCACAGTGGTAGTCGTCGCCATCTTGAACACATGTGCCCCATTTTGGCAAGGATGTTTCAAGCACCTGTTAAGTACGAAATATTCATACAGTTGAGCAGTGTACCTGAACATAATTGTTGCAATCAGTGACGACGAGACACGGCGAGACACGACGAGACACGACGAGTATGCAACGTTTAATATATGATACACGATATGAAGATCATCACACCAGACAGAGCTGATTTAAAGGAATCTTTGACATCTGATTCTATGACCCGGCTGTGTACCTCATGCTGCGAATTATCTTTACAAAGCTTTATTCGCAGTAGTTATTTATTTTCAACACCACATTGACAGGTGCACAAAAGAAAATTCACACATGATGCATTGGGATTATTTCCCTCATTTGTAAATATTTTGAAAAAAGAGTTTTTCATTGTGACGTTGTGACGAAGTAAAACTAAGTCTATCTTCCCATAACACCACAGATAACTTGCTCAGTTATTTGTTCAAGAGGATTGATCATCACCTGTTCATTCAGTCGTTAATGTTTATGGATAACTATTATGTTTGATATATTAGGATTGATTTCCAGTGAGCCATTCAAGGGGCGGTTGGGTAGCCTAGTGGTTAAAGCGTTCTCTCGTCATGCAGAAGACCAGGTTCGATTCCCCACATGGGTACAATGTGTTAAGTCCATTTCTGGTGTCCACCGCCGCGATATTGCTGGAATATTGTGAAAAGCGGCATAAAATCCAACTCACTCAGTCAGTCGTAACCTTTCATCCTTACTTTCCCATGATATCCATTGGAATATGTTTCAACGGATAACCGAGCCTGTTATCCTCTAGTTTGTGTTGACGTTGTATATTCTTTTCACACTTTGCTAAGGATCAAATAATTGATTCAACAGAAAACTATGATGCGGGGTCAAATTTGGTTTAAATATCTAAGCTTATTGTAAGCATGGGGGCTTGGTTTTAGTGTGTCATGTCACCTTGTGGTTCCCATACCTGCTATTGACAGGTGTTGTGTACTTTTCAATGACTCGTTCCATGATTTGCAAAATGGTTGATTGGTGCCATGAAAACATTTTTTATGGTTAATCACGTATCAAGCGCATACGGTTAGCTTATAGTGGCTGTTTTCCTAAAGATGTGTTTCCATATCATTATTTATCCAGTTTTAAATGGATACAATTTCAAATTATAAATCTCTAAGTAAGGTTGCGATTTTTTGGTGATCCTTTAGTTAGCAAAGTGTCAGTAGTATATATTTACCGGCGCATAGTTAATAGTTATTTCTGATTCAGTGTTTACAGCGTCCGTTAGAAAACTCCCATTGTACATTCGGAGTAGTTTCCCTATACCTCTGTCTTCATTGTGATAAATGCTTACTGGTTGGTGAGCTTGTGTTCACATAGTACTCCAGAGTAGCCACTACCCGTGCAGTCGCAAGTGTAGGAATTTATGCCGTCCACGCAGGTGCCGTGTTTACAAGGCTTCACCCAGCAGTCGTTGTAGTTCTGCTCACACCGATCACCTATAACATATCGGCGTGAGTTAGTAAGTTAGGACCCGTTAAAGGAGGATATATTGTCGAGGTGCCATACTTGGGATCAAACTTATGCCTTCGGAGTTATGAGCAAACACTATAACCACAATACTTATTTCCTTATTCAGCATGTAGGATGTTTCTCAAGTTTCAGGATTAGATAGACAGAAATTCATATTTGTTATATGTATATCAGTAATGTATTTGTGAAGTGATCTTTACATTTCCAATAGGAATTATTGCTCAGGGCATTGGCGAAAGGACTGTTTTGTTTAACGTCGAACTCAGCAATATTCCAGCTATATGACCGCAGTCTGTAAATAATGGAGTCTGTACCAGACAATCCAGAGATTGATATGAGCATGGATCTACCCAACTGAGTTAGGATGACATCTATCACCCAAGTCAGAGAGCCTGACCACGATCAGCACGGGTTGCTGAAGACCAAATCAAACCCGGATCTTCACAGGTATATTTAATGTCAAAGTATCACTTATACCCATGCGAACAGGTATGGTACTGGGAAACCAACATTCATAATGAGTTAAAGCTTGGATTCGAACTCATAACCAGGTTTCTGGGACTACGACTTGCCAATCCTCAGATATCTATTCCATACCTGCTAGCATACAATGTTGTAAGACTGAGTTACCTAGCATGGTCTTACAGTTCTTTTAGCACTATTCCAGCAATATCGTGGCGGATGAAACGACTTCACACATCACACCAATGTTGGGATCATGTAGCCAGAGGGGCGGTAGGGTAGCCTAGTGGTTAAAACGTTCACTCGTCACGCCGAAGGCCCGGGTTCGATTCCCCTTGGGTACAATGTGTGAAGCCAATTTCTGGCGTCTCCTGCAGTTATGTTGCTGGAATATTGCTAAAAGCAACGCAAACACAAACTCACTCACTCACTCATGTAGCAAGAAGGTAGTACGCACCTGCGATACCCTCAACACACAGACAGTGGAAACCTGGACTTAGTTGACCAGGATTTGACCCAGCAGGTGTGTCGACACACGTGCCTCCATGAAGACACGGGTTGGACACGCATGCGCTGAGCTCTACTTCGCAGTTATTTCCGGCGAACCCAGGAACACAGGTGCAGGTTCAGTTCTGCAATTCACGTGTTGAACAGATATAAATAAAGAAGCTCAACGACTCATGTCCTGGTATCAGAGACATTCTGAAAGATGGAAAACTGTAAAAAATAACTTGTGTAATATGTGACTTAGTATAAGGATGCAATTCTAACTCATAAATATGTTATTTTCGAAATACATGTTATAACGAAATGTTGGAGCCGTTTGATGTTAACATTGATAGATCGTTGATGCAACCTTTTGATAGGAAATTTATCAACCGTATTTTTCTCAAAAGTACGTCATAGAAAAAATCCAGCCATGATGAAAGAATACCTTAAACCCATCAACACACGTGGCGCCGTTGAGACAGGGTTGTGACTGACAGTCGTTGTAGGGCAGGTGACACGTGAAGCCATCGTAACCAGTACCGGTGCAGTCACAGACGTAACTGGAACGTCGATATTGACACAAGGGTATGATAATCAACCAAATGTAATTCAAAATGCAGTGTCAGATATCTAGACAGGGTTGACCCTCAGACATACACTGAGAACTGAGGGGAACGAAATTGTCTCAAAACGTTTTCTCGTATTTTGGATTTTCATTTGAAAATGTCTCAATTGTGCGATATTATATTCCATATTGAATTAGTCGGCACTCAAAAAGAATAAGTCTTCAGGGTTTTAGCTTTTGATATAATTAAAATCTTAAATTAATGGACTTAAAATTACGTTTTCTTATTTTCTCAAATTTACATTTTAAACAAGGTAGATATCTGTGGTTGCAAGTTCACGTCTTACTCCCGTTTACTCTGAACTGTTTGTAACACAACTTTACCAGTCACAGATTACATTTTCAAATTGTTTCAAAGATGAGTGATGTTGAGCTAGATATGATCAAATTTAACTTCTAAATTTAAATTTCTATTACGTATAAAAACTAAACAAACCAGATATATTTTATTTTGCGCCTCAGTTCCGATACAATCTAATACCACCTGCTCGCTACAAACTGTTTAACGTCGAATACAGTCCGACGGCAAACAATTTCACATCATCGTTATGTCAAGAGTGTTTAGTATACCCCTGTGCTAATGCTCAAGTAAGCGTGATGACGTACAGGCGTCGTCCATTTGCTTTAAATATCAATACTATCACCTTAGACAGTGACGGAGAAGAGTCTGACGTCCTGTTTCGATGTAAATACGTTTCCAGGACATGCCTGCAGTGCATAACCGTACACCTCAAGACTTGTCTGTTTAACATGGTCAACATAACCGAACGATTGCATGTTACACACTGACTTTGTTCGGAAGAAGTCTTCAGAGTAGTCTTTTGTTTGAAACGGTAGAAATTCAACTCAACGAGACAACATTAAGCGAATAGTGTGCACTGTTTCTTTTAGAAATATATCAGAAAAGGTTCTCAGCATGTTCAAACTTCATAATGGATGCTTATGTACAACATAGTATGTGCCATGCCTTCCCTTTGCTTACAGCAGTACCATGGACCCATCTTGTCTGGATCCATTGACACAAAATCACTTTGCTTATATGTTGTGGCAGATCTGTGTTACTGAGCCGAGTGATAACGGAAATATGAAGTAGAAATGCAATCAATTTTAATACCAGCCACTGCACTAAATATCACGAAATGATAGGATTTTGAAGTGGGCTGTAGCATGTCACCTTCTAAAAAATAGATACTTCATTTTAGAGTTCTTATAATACAAAAGGGAGGATTGACATCAGGTCGAAACCTCAGATAATATCGGCATGTAGGTTACATTTCACAAGGAAATGTGTTTCATCCTCAATTATAGAAACCGCCTCTGTGGTGTAGTGGTTAGAGAGCGAAAGGTCGCAGGTTCGATCCCCGACGGCGTCATACCAAAAGACGTTAAAATATGGTACTTGTTGGTCCCTGCCTGGCGCTCGGCATTAATGGGTACAACAAGGACTGGTCGGCTCGGAGTCAGTATAATGTGTCTGAGTGGGGTATTCATGCTTCACTGCGGCAGGGTATCTCAGTGGGCTAGCACTATAAACCAACTTAAGTCTGGGCTAGTACAAGCAGCCGCACATACACATACACACGCATGCACGTCGTCATATGAGCGAAATATTCTCAAGCACGACGTTAAACCCAATTTCACCTCACCTCACCTCAATTATAGAAAGGGTATATCGCATTTATTCTCACGTGTAAGTACCTTGTTTTAGTATCGAGACATTTGCCTCCATGCAGACAGGGATCCGAAGCACACATATCAGTAATATCGCAGTGAAGACCAGTGAACCCGGCCGTGCACTCACACACAAAACCATCCACCCTCTCATAGCAGGATCCGCCGTTCTTACAAGGGTCCGACTTGCAGTGATCAACGACACCTACAGGAAATAACAAGTCATTGCGTTATGGTCACTCAAGAGATGACTGATTTTGGCAACAGCGTCTCTCATTATCTCAAAATGAAGGATTATGCACAGACTAGAATAGCTATTTCGAATTCGAAAAAATAACTGAAAATACGTTTAAAATAGGATAATTGTCAACTTGCATGGCCTTCCGAAAAGATAAAACGTATCGACATGTCTCTTTGTTGCAGTGATTGCAATATTTTGGAATTATACGTCCTTTTAAAATTACATAAGAATCCTAGAATTATAACTATATAACACTCGGTAACCCCTAGCAACGTTCCCGACCAATGCAACCATGGTATATATGCAAAATACACTATCACCGGTGAAATTGCCTAATTAGATTATGCCCCACATTTTAAACAAAACATGGATCGTCTATCAGGGATCTTAGTAATATTGAGAGTACATATGTATATTAGCCAGTCAGCGGGCTGCTGTGTTGTGGGATAGGATATTTCGCAATGTATGTGATATATTTCTGCATTGCCACTTGGAATGCTACTGTGTTGAGTGTACGAAGATTATTGTAAATGTACTTTTAGGTATGTCTTCACTGGCACTCATGAAGGTTCCGGAGTTGAGAGTACCAAGATTATCATCTTATCTCACACATAAATGTCGTTTTCTGATTGGTTGAGCCAATCAATGTACCCTACTTACAAGTACCATTTTCTGTGTTATCCGCTGGAAATGCCAAACTATGGGAATTCATTTGGTACTTCGTGTTAGTAGTGCCTGGACTGTTGCCTAACTCCGGTACTCGGTAAGATAAATACGTTGTTAATTGGTTTTCGGGTTCAGGGAAACATAAGGAAACATAGGGAATATATCAACCCATGCCCCCCCCCCAGTGTAGAACTTATAGTGTACAATTACATATGTCTGCAGTATCAATAGGAAGGTTAATGTGGTGAGTGTATCACGGTTACTGTACAGTTAAGTTAGATATAACTGCATTGTCGTTAGGATATCCGCATTGCCACTAGAAGGTCACTGTGTTAATTGTATCAAGATTATTGTACACTTACATTTTAATTATATCTGCATTCCCTATATGAAGGCTAGTGTGTTGAGTTTATCAATATTATTGTACAATGTATGTTAGAAATATATACATTACCAACAGGAAGGCTAGTATGTGGTGTTGTCGATGGTTGATGAGCACACAGTCCAGCATTACATTCGTTAGTTCCGCAGCATTGAAAACAACCAGAGGCTGCACGCCGTCCGACGACAGGACCCGCCAAACTCGAACTGCATATCTAAATGAGTAAAGGTGGTGCCAGCTAGCATTACAAACATTCATCAGTACTATACTGTTTCGTGACCGCCTCCGTGGTGTAGTGGTTATAGCGTCCGCCCGGAGAGCGGAAGGTCGCGGGTTCGATCCCCGACCGCGTCATACCAAAAGACGTTAAAATATGGTACTTGTGGGTCCCTCCCTGCTCTCGGCATTAATGGGTACAACAAGGACTGGTCGGCTCGGAGTCAGTATAATGTGTCTGAGTGGGGTATCCATGCTTCACTGCGGCATTGTATCTCAGTGGGCTAGCACTATAAAACCAGCTTAAGTGTGGGCTAGGACAAACAGCTGCACATACACATACACACGCATGCACGTAGTTATATGAGCGAAATATTCTCAAGCATGACGTTAAACCAATTTCACCTCACCTATATACAACAGTCTCTTGTCTTGTAAATTAGACGTGTGTGTAACCTAGTAAAGTAGTGCCCGACAATTCCATCATCATCATCATCATCATCATCATCATCATCATCATCATAATCATCATTGTTGTCGTTACAGTGTGTGTGTCCAAAAATTATTGTTTAAGTAGAAAACGGAATGATTACACAGGAAACGTGATTTTCATGAAATGAAGAATAGCACCGTACATAAACATCATCAGCCTTTCATAAACCCAATATATTGTCAGTATCATAAATGAATCAATGGTGGTTCAATTGGCACGTCCCTGATGTCAGTTTTTTAATGAGTGACATACTATTACATAGATGTTTAAATTGCTGACGTAACTAATCATTTAGAATGAATCTAGATGGTTCAGGCTGTGTTTGTTATTTTACTTGAAGTGACACCCTGGCACGTTCAAAATACTCACGCTGCTGTTGTCGCATCCCAGCGTGTAGACGACGTCCCCGTTGAGACTCCTCATTTCCCTCGTGGAACACATCTGGTAAATAATACGTGGTGGTGGTGGTGTTAGATTGAAAAATCAAAATATACTGGATTTCAGCCGAGAATTGAGAATTGGAGATGTAGCAAAATGAAAGTGCTACCAAGTTAGACTGTGTTTGCGCGTTTTACATCAAGACGGCATGTTTCTTGAAAACATGCCTATTCTTAATGCCTATTATTAATGGCTACTGGGTAACATTACTCTGACATGTTTTCCATCCATTGTGCACTTAAGCGACTTGATTTAAACGACGTACGATTCATACACGTGCTGGCTCTATGCAGCAAACACCGTCATCCTCACCAGAAAACTTCATCTACCCCATTCACTCCAAACCCAACCCAATCCCACACACATACACACCGTGCTTGAAAGCGGTATAAGAATCTATACTGAAACGTCGCCATTGTGAAAATAAAGAAGTTGATCGCCCATAAAGTTTTGTCATCTCTATACCATCAACTTCTAGAATGCCAATCAAAAAATCACATACACACGCAGCAAAAGAAATACAAAATCAAAAAGACAACACCCCAAACACAAAACTCCCCTGAAAACTACTTGAGACACGCAGAACTGAAAATCACCAAGAAATTCCAACAGCTTCAGTTAAAGTATTAAGTTAATGTAACGCCAGACCTCTGTACATACCCTATACTCTGAGCCACCTTGACTGGCTTTTCTGTATAGAAATACGCGACTACAATAAGAAATTACTATCCTCGACGATCTGCCGAAACTAATTTCATTGTGCTAGACTAAAATCTCCTCTCTGAAATGAAGATATTTTACAGAAAAAACGATAATTCGTTATCAATTAAAAATCTAATATAAGGAGACAAGAGACTTTCTTCATTTCAGAACTTTATTTTAGACTTGCATGAACTGTCTGGGATATATTTGTTTCAGGGTTTGTATGACATATTACCATTAGACGTAAAAGGCAAAATAGCGTTGAGCATTATATAAATGAATCGCTGTCACACTTTTTTTAAACGGTGCTTCATAATTTCAGTAACACTTCTATTCGAAACCTGTGATATAAACAAATTAAAGCCCCAATGCAGACACCCCGTTTATAGTAGATTATTGCAGTTGTGGATGTCATGTCACTCAGACAGGACACGATGTTTAATACTTAAGCAACAAGACATACGCAACAGCACTCTTTGTGTTTTGCATGAGAACTAACGGTTTGTGCTAGTTTTCTTGATCAGGAAAGACACAGATGCCTACAAAGAATGGTTAATTCGAGACGTGTGACTGGTATTTTCATCTGAGGTGAAACGTGGTGGTGAGCCAGATCATTACGGAGACGAAGATCTGATTCAAAAGTATTTCCTATTCTAGCGTATCATGCTTCCCGTGTGTAAAATAGATGACTTTACTTGATTTTCTTTACATGAGCGTATGTTTGTGCAGGACGCAGGGTTGACGACATCCACGCAGCTCCGGCAATACAGGGATGAAGCGGCTGAAATGCAACGTCACGTCAGTTCACAAGTTTTGTATAAAGGAGACACAACTCTTTCCATGTTCGCAAGGAAAAATGGTAAAGTCTTTGAATGACATTTAGAGTGAGTGAGTGAGTTAATACGTAACGTCACATCGGCAATATCTCAGCCATATCGTGACGAAAACAATTTATGTAATACAAAAATGAGAATGACATTTAGAAGTGATACACATACAAAGGCAAACATTTTATGGATGTCTTTTTTAATTGTGATGGACACTTGGCCTCCTTGACTTTTCAGTATCAAGACACTATCTTGCTTCATTGTCACATTTTTAATTGTGATGGACACGACTTTTCACTGTGTCTTCCATCATGAAATTCTTGCCTTTAATATTGGTAAAATATTGTGTTCTCGAAATTCTGCATTGCAAGCTTGTTTCGAGCGGTCAAGAAAAACTCTTGGCCGCAAGAATGTCCCTTACAGTATTCCACACCTCTCTCCGTATCTCCAATGTCAAGAACACCTGTTCTTGGTTGACGTCTTACCACAGTGCTTAAGGTTGCTATTTCTGATAATACGTATTTCGTTTGCTAGATTAAACACGGTAGTTGTGACTTGCATTATATATATGTGTATCTTGTCTGGCTATCCTCATAGCAACATGTATAATAAATGCGAATGTGAAAGAAACAACATTCCAGGTGCCATATTTCAAAAATGAAAATAAACCGACTAGCCTGCATGCACGGATGCCAAAACGTCATGCAATCTGATTGGACACTTGCTGTCATCTACTGATCGGCACTTGCTTTATGAGCTCTCATACTAAGCGCCCGGTGCCACAATATAATCTCTACATTGCCGAACATAAACTTTCCATCCTCAATACGTCCAGCAATTGTTGAACGCGTACCACCATCATGATGTGTGGAACACGGGTTCTTCTACAACCTACCACCTGTGGGCTCATGCACAAGAAAGTGCAGCTAAATAAATTCGCTCACACTGCTAGTGACACAGTTAACTATCTCACACGTCACTTCAGAAACGCGTAATGAGGGTGTACAGTCACTAACGTAAATTATCTCACAACGGAAGCCTTATTGTGTTGGCACCAATGAGAATAGTTTTCACATGACATAATGCAGGAAGAGGCTTTAACGTCGCGTTCAAGTTTATTGCACTTACAGAGATGCGCACGTGTGCGTGCGTCTGTGCGTGCGTGAATGTGTGTTTGTGTGCGTTGGTGCGTGTGTGTGGCTGCACTATTCCACCGGTATAAGTTTGCCTGAAATGTCATGCCCTAGTGAAACATGGATACCGAACAGTGTACTGATGTCGAGCGGAGCGGTCCTTGCTTTATCCTTTTTCCCATGGACCCAACCACCGACCATCCGCTATCCAGACAGACGTTTTATCCTCAAGACCTCAAAGGAGACGGCCTGATTACATCAGGCGGATATGAACCCATTCCTTGTGCTCGGCGGCCAGCGCACTACCCACATGCCTGTCGCTCCATGCTTTAATGAAACCACGTTCTCCCCAAAACATCTGATCTACAACACATCAATTAGATACACGCCAACAGGTTGCTGACATTCTACGAAGGTTCGGTGAATCTAGTGATGGACTTAGTGAAAAACTGGATGAAATCAAACCAACGAAACAAACATCTATGACAGATTTTTAAAGAAATACATGTGCTTCATGGGAAATGTCAAGATATTGAGTGAAGTAAGATGTATAACGTGTAATGTGAGTCAAATGTGAGTCAATGTTTATTGGTACATTTATATGTTATGATTAATTGTTTTTACTATTGATAATTCATTATATATATATATATATATATTAGGATATATATAGACACACACACACACACACACACACACACACACACATACATGTACATGATAAATTTTCAATATACATCGGCAATACACTTTCCTTGATTTGATCCGGACGATTTCTGAGTGTAACCAAAATGTCCGGATATACATACATACTTTGCTCTGGCCCACACAAAGCATGAGAATGACCTACAATAAATAAAATACTTGGATCTGTAAGTAGTCCAAACCAGAAAACGTTGTTATGGGACTAAAATCTGGTTTACGCCTTATCTGGTATTCTCACTACATTTTTGTTCATGACCCGTTGATAATAGTGACAATTCCTGAAGTAATGTACTATGGTAACAGTAACATACATACCATATGTATTAATTGGTACCCGTTCATCTGATGAATTCAATAGACTCACCTGACTCACTGTTACAGTAATAACAGCTGCCATGGCTGAAGATACATGTACGTGTGTGTTTCCCTGCTTATCGTGACTGACGTAGGTCACAATTGAAGGCCCTCGGATAAAAGGACGGTATCTAGATAAGATATACCTTTCTGAAATCGGTGCTTGGTTTTGTACTCACAATATAACACGAAATAAATAAAATTTCACAAAATGAAGCAGGAGTATTGTAAATTTCGTAGTGTGGCATGGAAGACTTCTTGAAACATATTTTCGCTTTGAATATTGTGCTCTCAGTGAGGGACAGGACATTAGTTGGTTACCTGGAAAAGTCAGTACTCAGTTAGATGACCTTTTGAAAGCAGTGAATGGCAGGGTGACCAGGTGCAGACAGTACTGGGAGACCTGGTGCAGACAGTACATGGTTGGATGACCTGGTGCATGGAATACCTGGCAGGGTGAGCTGGTGCAGACAGTACTGGGAAACCTGGCGCAGACAGTACATGGTTGGATGACCTGGTGCATGGAATACCTAGCAGGGTGAGCTGGTGCAGACCTTACTGTGAGACCTGGTGCAGACAGCACATGGTTGGATGACCTGGTTCATGGAATACCTGGCAGGGAGACCTGGTCAGACAGAACTGGGAAATCTGGTGCAGACAGTACATGGCTGGATGACCTGGTGCATGGAATACCTGGCAGGGTGACCTGGTGCAGACAGTACTGGGAGACCTGGTGCAGACAGTACATGGTTGGATGACCTGGTGCATGGAATACATGTCAGGGTGACCTGGTGCAGACAGTACATATCAGGGTGACCTTGTGCAGACAGTACTGGGTGACCTGGTGCAGACAGTACTGGGAGACCTGGTGCAGACAGTACATGGTTGGATGACCTGGTGCATGGAATACATGTCAGGGTGACCTGGTGCAGACAGTACATGTTAGGGTGACCTGGTGCAGACAGTACTTATTAATATGGTGAAAACAGTACTTGGTGACTAGGTGTAGAAAGAAGGGTGACCGGATGCACGCAGTTCTTGGCTGATTGACCAGGTTCAGACGGCACTTGGTTGGAGGATCTGGCACAAGCGGTACTTGGCTGAGATACTTGGTACTGACAGCACCTGGGTGGCCTGGAGTGCTTGATTGGAATTACACGTAAGTGTTGTTGAATGTTCACTAAATCGTGTAGTAGAAGTCAGTAGAAGCAAAACGTCAAATCATGAAAATCGATCATATACAAAACTTCCAAATTGAAAACATCGAAAGCTTTAAAAACGGTCTATTTGACCTTTACAAAAACATAACATGCAGCTGCTAAAAATTTCAGAAATCGATTGTAATTATTGTCCGCGTTCCGATGCCTGCTTCTCGTTCACTGAAGGAAACAACAGAATCGTTGTTTTGGATATCCTTGCCAAGAAGGAATTAAAAGGTACTTTTTGTGAAAAATCTATTGAATAAATGGAATGGTAAATTGTAAATGAAACTGTGCTTTGGAACACACAAATTTTTCATATCAAACAAATTGAATTTATTTAATATTTTTTTTAACATTCAAAACTTGAGCACCTGGTGTCTTCGCTGCTTTTCATTGATCCATGGTAATCGTCACCTCTCTTTCGCCAAATGAATCTGTTTCGCCAGATAATTGAGATATCTTTGTTATGCGCACATCACATTGGGAGTTATTCAGAGAACGTTTTATCTCTTTGGATCTTGAACGTACGCAACGAGAATTTGCTCTACACAATTTTGCAATAATCCCAAAGAGTACACGAGAAACTGTTAGTATAATTTAGCTGAACTACCGCAGAAATCGCTGCGTTTAAGGTACTACTGGGAATATCCCCAGAACAAATAACACCCTTGATGTGGCTATAACATTGAAATAACTGAAGGCCAAATTATTTGAAACTGTAGATGCAAAGGCTATCCTTTTCTCACGGTGACAGCCCTAAAGTCCCAGGAGATTGCTAATTAGCGCAATAAAACATTGATTTTAGTTGCTCAAGAAATGTCCTCGTCCTGACTCATCTAAGATATGTCGATCACGACAGTGAGTGTGTCAAAATGAATTTGTTAACTCAAAAAGAATTTGTGAATTCATTGAACACTTGAGTGAAATGGATACTGAGTAATATACATGTAACGCAATATCTTTAAAAAGTGTATATAAAAGGAGGATTCAGCCATTGGATTCGAACACACAGTTAGAAGATCCTGAAGTAGCGGACGCGAATCCGCATGGTGATTTTTGTGTGGATTAATAACAAAACCTGATACAAGAAGTGCTTGGTTTGGTGTGCTAGCAGTCATTGATGGGTGACCTACTGAAGAAGTCATTGACTGGGTGACCAGTTTCAGACAGTGTCTGGGTGGCATTGAGCACTTGCTGGTGCATTGAGCACTCCTGCTGGGGACCTACTGGAAGAAGTTCTTGGTTTGCTGGACTCACATCTGATGACAGTGACATGTTGTATGGTCCATAGAACTTGCTAGGACAGAGGGACTCAGATCACACAGTGAATGTTGTAGTAAATGTCCACATTAACATGTGCAGTCTTTTAACCAAGTTCCTCTGAAGTGGTAAATGTTAGCATCTGCATTTCTTCGAACATGAGGCTGATATGATTGTTAAAAGCAACATTAGACTCACTAACTCACGAAGTATCAATGTATCTCTTACCCTTAAACAACAAAACCCGGAATGCGTAAATATATTTTGACCAGAAATTATTGAGAATTTTAGGTATTT